TGGCATGCTGCAGCACATCGGGTGGCAAAGAGTCAGACGTGACTTGGCAACAGAACAACGAAAGCAGGGAGATGGAGGAAATACAGGTGTGTACACAACCTGTGTATGTACACATTTCTATAAATATCTCGATGTGTAGCCTTTAGTTTCTATATTAAGCTAAGCATGAGTTCAAACTAATGTCTCCAACTGGAACCCATTACCACATGGACCTGTTCCTTTTCATAGGTTGTTTCTTTAACTAATATGACCCTTGGTAACTGTAGCTGCATATCTCCATTTATGAGGGTGAGTTCTCCAACTTTGCTGTTTTATTTCAGGATTGTGTTGAATATTCTATATTGTTTCCATTTTCCTATGAACTTTAGAGTCTGTACAAATAGTTTATTGGTACCTTCATTGTTAGTACATGGAATCTACACATCAGATAGGTAAATGAAATGAAGTGAAGGTCGCTCAGTCGTGTCCCACTATTCGTAACCCCATGGACTATACAGTCCACGGAATTCTCCAGGCCAGAATACTGGAGTGGGGAGTCTTCCTCTTCTCCACGGGATCTTCCCAACCCAGGAATCGAACTGAGGTCTCCTGGATTACAGGCAGATTCTTTACCAACTGAGCTATCAGAGAAGCCCAAATAGGGAAATATTGACACAATAACAATATATTCCAGTACATGAGAATGGAAAAACTCTTTATTTAAATAAAACTGTGTATTTTATAGTTTTCTATGTAAAGGTCTTTTGTTTCTTTAGGTAGATATACTCCTAAGTATTTTATTCTTTTTGTTGCAATGGTGAATGGTATTGTTTCCTTAATTTCTCTTTCTGTTTTCTCATTGTTAGTGTATAGGAATGCAAGAGATTTCTGTGTGTTAATTTTATATCCTGCAACTTTACTGTATTCATTGATTAGCTCTAGTAATTTTCTGGTAGAGTCTTTAGGGTTTTCTATGTAGAGGATCATGTCATCTGCAAACAGAGAGAGTTTCACTTCTTCTTTTCCTATCTGGATTCCTTTTACTTTTTTTCCTGCTCTGATTGCTGTGGCCAACACTTCCAAAACTATGTTGAATAGTAGTGGTGAGAGTGGGCACCCTTGTCTTGTTCCTGATTTTAGGGAAATGCTTTCAATTTTTCACCATTGCCACTCCAGTATTCTTGCCTGGAGAGTCCCAGGGACGGGAGCCTGGTGGGCTGCCGTCTATGGGGTTGCACAGAGTCAGACACGACTGATGGACTCAGCAGCAGCAGCAGCAGCAGCAGTCCCTTTCTATATGCTATTTTCATCCCATCTGTCACCATTTGACATTTGACAGGGTCTTTCTCATTTCTTTTACAGTCTGAAACCAAAATGTAAGCTCCATAAGGTCAAGGTTTTGTCTTCTTTGTTCCCTGGTATAACTCTAGCTCTCAGAAGCACACCTGGCCCTTAGTCAGGTGTTCATGTAATATTTTTTTGGAATGAACTAACAAATAAATGTATTTCTCAAAGGAGAGTTTCCATAGCTTTCACTGGCATTTCAAGCCAGTGAAATTAAAGCCCCTGGCTGAGATGATCTCTAAGACCCTCTTGGTTCTTCTAGTCTGAATCCAGGAGCTTGCTTTGCAAACTGAAAGTGCAGAATTGGCTTCATCCCAGCTGGGTGCCCATCCAGTGCCCGGCCCACTCCCCACTCCATGCCTGACGGGGCTCTGCCCTGGAAGCCCCCGTGGAGGGGCAGCCGGGGGCCCGAGTGGAGCTTAGGGCGGGTCTGTGCCCCTGAGAGTCCCCAGCACCCACCCCAGCTACCTCCTGGCTTGGAAAGGTCACAGGGGAAGGTGCCTGGGCCCCGCCCTTGAGCACACAGCCCTGTGCCACTTCTTCTCTGACAACTAGTCAAAATGTCACTCCTGTCACCACAGCTCAGCATTTCTCTTCTGTGTTCCTTCTCGCCCACCCGCTGGAGTGTGAGGCTCATGTGGGAGACCTCCCCACACCCCGGAGCTGGTGATGAGACGGATGGGGACGGGGAGGAGGGGCCACCGCTGCCCGTAGCTGGGGCAGCAGGTCGGTCAGGAAGAGGAGCCTGGCTGGGGTGCGGAGGGATGAGGGGAGCGGCCAGAAGGGAGACTCTGGAGCAGCAACTGGCTGCGCCGGGCGGGGCGGGGGAGGTTCACACCCCGCAAAAACCCTCACTTCCCACCTGAACAGACACCAGACCTAGTGTGGACCCTCTCGGCCTCCTCACCTTTTTGGAACCCGGAACCCCTGCCTTCTCGAGCTCCCGCCCAGGCCGGCCAGACTGCCTGAGCAAGCTGGCTATGCTCTTAAGCCTCACGCCCTCCCTATATGTCTTTCTTCCTGCTCCCTGTGTGGTCTGCTTTCCACTTCAGACTCCAGCCTGAAACCTCTTTCTTTAGGCTCCCCCAACCTCCCCCTTTCCATCGCTAAATCCACAGGCCCCTGATCCCCTGATGTACTTGCTGCGGGGGTGGGGGGACGAGGCCCTGGGGCGGAAATGGTCCCCGCAGTCATCTCCCAGCTCAGTTCAATTCATTTCAACACACACGATCCCTAGGTGGGGTGCGGGGGTGGGCGGTGAGAACTAACAGCCTCAGACAGATGCGAGCTGGGGTCCCAGCGCCGCTGCCTCCAGCTTTGCAGCCCCAGGGAAGTGGCTGAGCTCCCCGCAAAGAGCCGTAACGAATGCCGCCAGGCCCTGCTCTAATAACCCGAATTAACTCATTTAATCCTCACGGCTTCCTTGGGAGGGAAGTGTTAGGATTTTCCCCATCGCTAAGAAACTGAACCGCAGAGGGTAGCGTGCCACTGCCCAGAATGGCAGCCACTAGCCACACGTGGCTATTTACATTAAATTAACCGAAATGAAAAACAAAAATCAGTTTCTCAGCCGCTCTAGTCCCTTTCAAGGGGCTCAGCAGCTATACATGGTGGCGACCATACAGGACAGTGAGATACAGAACATTTCCACCATCCCAGAAAGTTCCATCAGCTCAGACACTCGCCTAAAGTTACACAGCTGATGACTGGCAGCTACTGGCCGAGCCTGGCTGTCCAGTCACCACATTCCTGCTTCCAGACGAGTGATTCTGATTGAGGAAGACAAGGTATGTACAGGGCCGGGAGCACAGGGGGTGCTCCGTGGATGTTTCCTGCCCTTTTCCCTCCTGGGATGGCAGGCGTGACATTTCACTCCCTCTGGATCAGTTTCTCCAGCTGCCCTGGGTTTGCCCCCAGCCCCTGCTTCCAGCGGAACCCGCCCTCAAATAACCCCCCATCGCCGGCCCCATCTGACCAACTCCTCTGCTGTTTTCAACACTCGGGTTCCCCGCAGTTCCTCTACCGGGCGGGGGTGTGGCTGCAGCCCCCACCCCAGTTCGGCCAGGCCAGGCCTTGCACCGGCCGCTCGCCCCATCCTCCCCTCCCGCCTCCGCCCCTGCCGGTCTTCACAGCGCAGCTCGCCGGGCTCAGCACCTCCCACCTGCTCACCGTGTCAGTCACGAGTCTCTCCCAGCCCCCGCCCCCTCCCCGTCCATCCTACACACCGCGCTGCCGGATTAATCACGGGCAGACACCCGGCAACACACCCCTCGCCTGCTCCACAGCCCGAGCCCCTCCCCGCTGCCGGCCAGCCGGCCCTGCCCTCCGAGACGAGCCCTGGCGCGGCCCCGCCCGAGGGGAGCTGCGTGGACTTTTCCATGGGCGCCCAGAACATCACTCCGACCAGTTCCTCCCTCCCTCAAGTCAAGTCAAAGTCAACAAGGATTATTTAAAGAAATTCTGCTAGGAGTCCTCTGGTGAGACAAAGAATCCTTTTGTTATGCAAATGATCGTACCAAATTTCCCTTGTTTTGTACGTTCAGGTTTAAAAATCCGTTTTTCCCTTGAAGTGAAACACCTCCTCTCTGCTGCTGCCCTGCCCCCCAACACACACCCACCCAACACACACCCACCCACCCAGAATTTCAGATTCTAGGGGCCTTAGCAAGGCCTCCCTGCCCTCTGCTCAGGACACACTAGTTCTGCACACACATTTTCTCTAGACTGTTATTCTTCCCTGAGCCTCCCCTCCCCTCCCAGCCCCCAACCCTCATGGACCCATTTTCTTTCTCTCCTTCAAAACCTGCTCCCCAGTTCCCCTCTCCAGCAGCGCTTCTCTAATTAACCTCCCTGGCCCCATTGCTTCCTCATTCTGCAGAATCCCAGCCGTAAGTGGCCACAGCCTCCCAGAGCTATGATGCTTAAAGAGACCGTGGAGACCGCCTCGTTCAACCAGATCATTTCACTGATGAGAAAACAGGCCCAGAGAGGGGGCACACTTGCCTGGGGTCACACAGCCGGTTGGTGGAGAGGACTCAGGTCCCCAGACCCTCAACCTAGAATCTGTGCCTCTGTGTGCATCAGTGACCTACATTGGCTAACGAGTCGTGTGTCTTTCCATCACACTGTGGGTGGCTTCCAGATGAAGGAGAGGAGAGAAGGAGATTGGGGAGGGGGGAGCTGGTTTCAAAGATGGGAGGGAGTTTGAATGAAGCCTGTGGCAGAGTGTGGGGCCAGGTGGGGAGATGGGTGCAGATTTGCCATGCTGAGGAGGAAGAAGTGGGGGGACATGTGTCATGGGGTGTCAGAGGGCTGTGGATGGGTGAAGACTAGGTTTAGAGATGGGGACTGATCCATGTTGAAGAAGGAGTGAACTGTCAGAGGGACCCCGAGTTCTTGCTTGTTTTTGCCTCCATCTCTGACATGCTCAGCACTTGCCATCACTAAGACCCTCAGAATGTCACTGAGGGCTTGCCATCTGTCCCCCACCAGCCCCATCTGTGCAGCCAGGAGCCCCTGGAGCTCCTGGGGCCCCTTGATGTCTCCCCAGAGCAGGGGCCCCAGAGCAGCCCAAGGGGGAGATGGCCCAAGCCAGCCGACCCAGCAAGTCATCACTGTTCAGCCCCCCCTCCCAACCCACGCCCCTGGAAGTGGGGGGTGAAGTGTTACTGGATAACTCACGTTCCATCCTCGTTGCTTCTGTAGAACACCAAGAAGGGGTCAGACTTCCCAAAGAAATCCTTCTTGTCCAGCTTGTTGGCACAGAATTGCATTGTGGCGACGTCCTGGTGGGGAGGAAGGAGAACAGGGGTGTGAGGCCTGGGGATTCCAGGCACCAAGCCAGTTAGAAAGGACAGCAGCAGTTCGCATTTGCCTGGCACAAGGTGCCAGGCCCTGAGCTCACACTTTCGAGGGTCCCATTTTGTCTTCAGACAGCCCCAGCCAGCAGGTGTGGCGGAGCAGCTGGGCCGTGGAGCCGGCTGCCGCAGTTACCTGGCTCCGCCACTTCGCTGCTGTGTGACCAGATGAGGAGGTGACCTCTTGGAACCTCAGTTTCCCCTCTGTGACATGGGGCTGATTACAGCGCACAGCGCAGAGGGCTGTGGTGAGCACTGAAGGAGAGCACGTTGCAGGCACGTCACCCACCCGGTCAAGGCTCACACACGTGGTGTCATCACTGTTGTACCGAGTGAAATGACTAACCCGAGCCACTCTGAGCTTGGCCACCCAGCCCCAGAGCCCTCGCGGTCCACATCGCCTCATTACCTCACAGGATTGCGTGGTTCCCGAGTTTAAGCATGCCTTCCACATGCACTGATGCACACAAGACCCACCTAATTCTGAGGCGGGTACAGCTAGACCGTGACCCCCGCTCCCTCATCTTACAGCTCAGAGCAGGGAACGACCCCCACAAGTTTACCAAACAGAGTCCCGGGTTTCTGACTCTTCTGACGAGTTAACGGCCCTGGCCAACCCAACCCTCAGCCCAAGAGCACGTGGCAGGTACCCAGGCCCCGTGAGGATCCTGGGCACCTCCTCTCACACGGCTCCAGGCCCCCCGGCTTGCTGTGGCCAACAGATGCCCCTGCATCCTCCTCTTTGCCCATCCCCATGTGGGCTCTTCAACCTGAAAGCTCTGCATCCCAACAAGTCAGCTGCCAAATGGCCAGAGTTTAGGGTTCTGGTGATGGTCCCTGGGGCCTGGGCTGTGCTCAAGGGCTGGGCCTGTCGGGAAATACCCACTCTCTCATGTTGCCCGTTTCTTCTCAGTGGGGAAGAGGGTCTCTGGAGATCAGTCTCATAGCCCAGTGAGGACCAGAGCGGTGGCAGAGATGAAGATGCCACCTCTCACAGCTCAAAGGATATGGTCAAAGCTTGGGGTGGGGGACTTCCCTGGTAGTCCAGTGGTTAAGAACTCACCTGCCAATGCAGGGGACATGGGTTCAATCCCTGGTCCAGGAAGATCCCACATGCCATGGGGTAACTAAGCCTGTGCACCACACCTACTGAGCCCATGCACCCTAGAGTCCATGCACCCTAGAGCCCGTGCTCCACAAGAGCAGAAGCCACTGCAATGAGAAGCCTGCCCACTGCAACTAGAGAGTAGTCCCCACTCTCCCCAACTAGAGAAAGCCCAGAGCAACCCACACCCAACACAGTCATGAATAAATAAATTTGTAAAAAAAGAAAAAAAGCTTGGGACGGTGGATACGGTATATTGGTTAAGAACATGGCCTCTGGAGCCAGGCTGCCTGTTTCCACTCCATGCCTTACTAGCTGTGTGATCTAGCTCAAGTTACTCACGCTGTCTGGGCTCAGTCTCCTCATCTGTAAAATGGGGGTGCAGGAAAGACCACCTCGTAGGCTTGTCAGAGGATGACATGAGTTAACTGAGGAGTATGTTGAGGAGTACACAGGCACACGAAGTACTGTGTGTGTGCGAGTTATGATGATCTGGATATTTCTCCCCTCTCCCTCCCCGCCCCTGTCTACGTGTGGCTCTTGTCCCTGCCCCACGCCCACCTCTACCAGCTCACAAGTCTTCCCTCAAGGGCCTCTGACCACAGCAAACAGCTCCAACCACTAGCTTATTCATTCATTCATTGATTTCACAAACATCTATTAGTTACCATCTGTGTGGGCCAGCCCTTGGCTCAGTGCTTTACGGCCTTAGCTTATTTAGCCCTCAGAATCATCCCTTTCATAATAATCCTCATTTTACAAATGAGGACGCTGGAGGTTGCAGAAGCTAGGTAACCTGCCCAAGATCAACAGCTGGCAACTGGCAGAGCAGAAATTCAACACGTGTGAAGGCAACATGATTTCAGAGTCATGCCTCTTCCAGCACAGAGCAGGCCCCTTCCTGAGGCCTGCTTATTACTGATTTCTTTTGACTCAGGGCAGGGCTGGGCTCTAGTTAGCCTGGGCTGAAGGGTCCCCTGAAGGGAGGCCCTGGGGGCAGTGCCCAGGCACAGCATCCAGAGGTGCCCAGGTAGTGGCAGCTTTTATCATGTCCCACAGCACTGACCACCTGAGAGGGACAAGGAGACAGGACTGGGGGCTTCCAAGGCTTAGAAACTCTGGGAATCTGCGAGCCTCCTGAGAAATGAGGACTTCAGACCTGGAATAGAGAATGGCTGACTTATTGAGCACTTACTCGATGCCAGGTGCTGTGTTGAGCCCTCTTTACACACATATATGAAGTAACTCCTCTAGTCTCCCCATTTTACAGATGAGGAAACAGACTTTTAGAGGTCGTTCAAGATGACACAGTGGTGGTAATGAAGGCACTTAGCCTTCAGGGCTGTCCCTCACACCCTCCCAGAAATATCTTTAGCCTTCTAAGGGAGCAAAGATGGGCACAATAAAGGGCAGAAATGGTATGGACCTNAAATGCTAGGCTGAATGAAGCACTAGCTGGAATCAAGATTGCTGGGAGAAATATCAATAACCTTGGATATGCAGATGACACCACCCTTATGGCAGAAAGTGAAGAGGAACTAAAAAGCCTCTTGATGAAGGTGAAAGAGGAGAATGAAAAAGCTGGCTTAAATCTCAACATTCAACAAATGAAGTTCATGGCAGGTAGTCCCATCACTTCATGGCAAATAGATGGGGAAACAATGGAAACAGTGACAGACTATTTTGGGGGCTCCAAAATCACTGCAGATGGTGACAGCAGCCATGAAATTAAAAGATGCTTGCTCCCTGGAAGAAGAACTATGACAAACATAGACAGCATATTAAAAAGCAAAGACATTACTTTGCCAACAGAGGTCCGTCTAGTCAAAGCTATGATTTTTCCAGTAGTCATGTATGGATGTGGGAGCTGGACTATAAAGAAAGCTGAGCACCGAAGAATGATGCTTTTGAGCTGTGGTGTTGGAGAAGACTCTTGAGAGTCCCTTGTTCTGGAAGGAGATCAAACCAATCCATCCTAAAGAAGATTAGTCCTGAATATTCATTGGAAGGACTGATGCTGAAGCTGAAACTCCAATACTTTGGCCACCAATGTGAAGAACTGGTTCATCTGAAAAGACCCTGATGCTGGGAAAGATTGAGGGCAGGAGAAGGGGAGGATAGAGGATGAGATGGTTGGATAGTATCACCAACTCGATGGCCATGAGTTTGAGCAAGCTCCAGAAGTTGGTGATGGACAGAGAAGCCTGGCATGCTGCAGTCCATGGTCGCAAAGAGTCAGGCACAACTGAGTGACTGAACTGAAGTTCACTTCTAACAGTTATTAGCTCTACCCAGGAGAAATTTCCTATCGCATCTCATGCTGGATGGAGGGGGCACCTAAATGCTTTCCTGGGGAGCTCCATCCCAAGGCCTAGGAAAAGGAGGCAGCATAGGACCTGGTGGGCTCCCCTCACCCCCCTGCACTGTGCACTGGCTGTATAATTTGTGGGACCCAGTGCCAAGGGAAAAGGTGAGGTCCTTTTTTCAAAGAGTATTAAGAGATTTCAAGACTGTGACAGCAGAGTATTAAGCCAAGAGTAGGTCTTGTGTGGCTGAACAGATCATGCATGCATGCTAAGTCACTTCAGTCCTGTCCAACTCTTTACAACCCTATGGACTGTAGCCCATCAGGCTCCTCTGTCCATGGGATTCTCCAGGCAAGAATATTGGAGTAGATTGCCATGTTCTCCTCCAGGGAATCTTCCCGACCCCGGGATCGAACCCATGTCCCTTACGTCTTCTGCATTGGCAGGTGGGTTCTTTACAATAGCGCCCCTGGGAAGCCCCAGTGAACAGATCACATGCCCATCAAGTGGGTCCTGGCTCCTCCCCCTGGATGGAACCATTAGTAATATCAGAAAACAGAGAGGACCATACTCTGCTGAGGAGGAGCCCCACCAAGGTACACAGAGCTCTGAGTTCCAGCGAGTCCCAGCAGTTCTTCAAGCCCTCTTCCTGCTTCTTCATCTAAAAGGTGATGTGGTGGATAGCATGACCACCACTGTCCTTTAAAGCTGGACAGCTTAGGTTTTGGTGCCAATGCCACAGGGACCATATGGGGTGGCATCTGGGGAAGGCTGGTGCTCAGGGGACAGTTTGAGAATCCAGGGTCCCTGCAGCCTCCCTAGGACATAGCTTGGTGGTTGTCACAGTGAACTCTCCCACAGCTGGAGGTCACCTGTGTGACACCCTCACCTGAATGAACACAGATGATACACAAGACAGTCTATACTGGCTGACTGTAAAATGCATATGTGTGTTTTAGTTACTCAGTTGTGTCTGACTCTGCAACCTGATGGACTGCAGCCCACGAGGTTCCACTGTCCATGGAATTCTCCGTGCAAGAACACAGGAATGGGTTGCCATTCCCTTCTCCAGGGGATCTTCCCGACTCAGAGTTCGAACTCAGGTCTCCTGCATTGCTGGCAGATTCTTTACTGTCTGAGCCCCAGGGAAGCCCAATAAAATGCATACATATATTTAAAACAACCAAAACAGATGCCACAAAAGCCAGAGGAACAGGCTTTTATTTTTCCTGCCTAGGAAACCCCATGGGGGGCCCTGCAAGATCAGGAAGGGGAGTAGAAATATCAGAAAAGTATTAATGCAGAACTTAACAGACCACAACTTCCAGGATCATTTAGGGCTCCACTGGGAGGGCCATGGTCCCAGCACAGTGCCTGACAGAGAAAACAGCACAAAGGAGCCCCAGCACCTGATTAGACCCCCACCCCCCCACCCCCACTTGCCAGCTGAGCTGTGTGTGGCAAGCAGTTCCACCTAAGTCTTGGTATTCTCCTCTGGAAAAATGGAGACTTCTCCT